AGAAATCTCTTAAAAGCATAATTAAATAAAAAAAATGTGCAAAGGACAATAAGAGCGTGGGCCTAAAAATAGATGGCCCCTGCATGCATCCATGTAACAGGGTATATAAGGAATCAGGATGAGCTCAGGCTGAGCCACTGAGCTCCTCCAAACCCAGAAGGAGCTCCTCTCGAACACAGAAGGGGCTCCTCCCGAACACAGAAGGGGCTCCTCCCGAACACAGAAGGGACTCCTCCAGAACACAGAAGGGGCTCCTCCCGAACCCAGAAGGGGCTCCTCCCGAACACAGAAGGGGCTCCTCCCGAACACAGAAGGGGCTCCTCCCGAACAGAGAAGGGGCTCCTCCCGAACAAGAAGGGGCTCCTCCCGAACACAGAAGGAAGCTCCTTTCGTGCCACCAAATCAGCTGCGGGAAGAGAATTCCCTGCCCGCAGCATGACACAGGAGCGGGATGCAGTGACATCATCGACTCTATATGACTACATGCCTATATTTGGTCAATTAGATTGACCTAATATGGATATGTGGCCATATAAGGTCAATTACATCCGCACAAGCATCCTATCCCTTTGTTTACTTGCTGCTGCGGGGCAGGGGATGCAGAGGGATAGCTCCCTCTATGTTCCTCTGAACATAGAGGGAGCTCCTCTAAAAACAGAGGGAAGCTTCTTCCATGGCCTCCAACCAGCTGCGGCCAGGGAATTCCCAGCCCCCAGCTGCACGTAAGCAAATGGGCGGGGTGCAGTGACATAATTGACCAATTGACCTTATATGGTCACATGACTATATTTGGTCAATGACAAATGCCCAATATGGGCATTTGTAGAGCCATCCCTACCTTATTCACTGCCTAAGGTGGCCAGGACAAGGAGAGAATAGTGGGCTAAGCCAAGTTGTTAACCGGGTGGCCGGCAGTTGCCAACCAAGCTATCAGCTTGGAAGGGGGTGCTGTCAGTTGATCGTGCTACCGCTCCAAGCTGCCTCATTATGAGGATGCCCTTGGCCATAAAAAGTCAATGACACCAGTACCGCGGTATTCATGTGCAGGGCGAGGAATGCCCAGCCTGTGCACTTCCCTGTTTGGAGGAGCCCAAACCCGGTCTGAACCTGAACTCATCCCTTCATATTAATAAGGTAGAATATCTGGAAAGGGGAAGAAAACGCTGCTAGTCAACATTTAATATACTTGATTTTTTCTGTGCATTTACCTACAATTTGTTTTAAACCAGTGACAGGTTCTCTTTAAGTATAACCATCCGACGCCTACAACGCATTTCAGTGTAACATCCCCATAAGAGGCTCAGCGGTGCCCCCTGCGTATTACATTATAAAATGTATGGAGTATTTGCGGTATCACTGCAGGCTTATTACTGTTGCGTCTTTGATGTTATCTCCAGAGGTGTGATAGGTAAACGCAGGAATTACCGCTAACACATCACTCTCCTCCATTATCTGATGTGCGATTAGCATAAAACCGCTGACGTGTGAAAAGACAAAACATTTCGGAGGCGCGCTGATAAGTATTAATTACATACGTCTGATTGCCAAGACACATGCGATTAGTGCTGGGAGTGCGAGAGCGGGGCGACATATTGCTCGCGATCATTATTTAGTGTATAATGAGTATCTAGAACTAATTAAAGGACTTTACAACTACAAACTGATAAATTCATATATTTTTTTTTTCCTCTTCATTTCCGATTCCGCAGCGCCGGTCGCCATGGCAACCCGGCTTTGTTTCAAGCAAGTCTCGGCGTCGAGATAGCAGCCCTGCTTAATAATCCCCTCTGGCATGGTGTGGAATAACATAGTTACTGCTCCATCCACATTCACATCACACAGGGCTCGTTAGCACCGCTGACACGCGTGGCTCAGGTGGGAGCGGGATCAGGTGGAATTGGGTTTTCTTCCTTTTTCGGCTTAATGAGGTTAGCGGTGTGTTCTTGAGCCTTGTCAAAAGCGCGACTGAGCGTTTGTAAACGTATATCGTGTGTTTTAACACGTGACGTTGTTGCTAAAAAAAAGAATACCATTTTTAAAGGAGAACTATGGGGTTAAGTCTTTTCTCCATAGTTCTTCTTAGGGTAACGGGAGGACACAAACTAGCGTCCTCCCGTCACCCTAGGCTCATTATACCGCGAGCTGTAGCTCGCGGTATATTGAGACGCCACAGTGCAGCTCGCGGTATACTGAGACGCCGCAGCTGAAGCGGATCCCGACAATTGTGCCGGGATCTGCCCAGCTGCGTGACCGACAGCTGGCTCTGCCTATCTAGAGGCAGAGCCAGCTGTATCTGCCCCCTCCCCCGTCAGTCAGCGCTGGCGGATCGGAGCGGGGAGAATCCAGCCCCTCCCCTGTCACGGCAGAGAGCCGTGACAGGATCGAGAGGTGAGCGAACGCCGGAATGTGTTCGCTCACCTCCCGATCTACTGAGCCGACCTGTGACAGTCTCATTGTCACAGGTCGGCTAGAACTATGAGGTGAGTGAAAAGCACTCACCTCATAGTTCTCCTTTAAAAATATTTATTTGATGCTTTGTTTGGTCAGGTAACTTTGTATTGCGTGTTAATATTCTACATATAACGTCCGGAGGCGGTGTAAGGCCTCATTTACACTGCCGTGCTATGCGCTGCGTATATGCCCGTGCACGCGTATTGTCCCATATGCAGCCTATGCAAATAAATGGCTCCATACACATAGCTGCATATGGAGCCATATATTTGCGCTGCGGAAAGAAATGCGCAAAAACAGAATGGACCTGAGATGCGTTCGGGCAACGTATTTCTGCGTATATTACGCGCATATACGTTTGTGTGCACGTGTATACGCACGTACAGTTCATTAAAATTTATATTACGAATGATGCATTCTGGGATTGCATATAGTGCACGCGTATACATACACGCATGCACGCGCGTACATATGCACATATATGCGTATATATATACAATATTCAATTTTGCTCTTGCGTTGTGTGTGCATGGCCTTAATGTTGCTAAAAAAACAGCTTAGCTGCGACTTGAGGAGATCAGATTAGACACAGAGTGAAAGGTGTCAGAAGAAGGATGCACCTCCTCCTTCTCTCCTACTAGAGAATCTTTATTTAGTCAGGTTACACAGGATGCCAGCTAGCGTGCGTGCATTGCAAGGCTTCCCTAATAATCTCTCAGGGCAATTAATGCACTCTGTATTAAAGAAGGACTCCAGGATTTTGTAAAATTAACCCTTGCGGTGGGGCTACCCCAGCAATGCAAGGGTTAAGTGCTTGTTTTGTCTAGGGGGTGAAAATAAAGAAGATATACTCCACCTGTCTTTAGTCCTGCCGGGCCGCTGGACCAGCCCCTGTAGCCTCTTTTCCCCGGGGCTCTGGCAGTCTAAGGACCCGTGATGTCATCATGTCTAATGCAGGTCTATTAGACATGAGCACACCGAGGGACATACCATAGCCAGAGTGAAGAGGTAGAGAGGTGAGCAGTCACTGCTGCAAGAAGATACAATGAGGGGAATTTATAAAAACTGGAGCAGCCAAAAACTGGAGCAGCCGTGCACGGCAACCAATCCCAACCCACCTTTCATCTTCAAAGCTTAACTGAACAGACTAAAAAGAAGTTGATTGGTTGCCATGTGCAGCTGCTCCAGATTTTGTCTGCTCCAGTTTTGATAAATTCCCCCCAATATCTTCTTGTTTTTGCCCCTAGACCAAAACGAGCACTTAGCCCTTGCAGTCCGGGAGGTAGCTCCACTGCAAGGGTTAATTTTTCAAAATCCTGGAGTTCTTCTTTAAAATAAGTATAGTAAAAAATAAAAAAATAAATCAGTTTTGGATAGAGTAAGGAAAGGATAATAAAACCCATGCCAAGATATTTTTAATCTTTGTCCCATTGCACAGATTTATATTCACTTCCTGTACTGTAAACACAACAGGAAGTGAGAAGATACTAGGGATGCACCGATGCCGATACTAGTATTGGTGTTGATACCGAGTATTTGGGTGGTTACTCGTACTTGGAACTAGTATTTGGAAATACAGGAACTTCCAGTATCAGGTAGCTGGGCGGCGAGTCATCACACGCCGCCCGTAGGGTTGCCACCTGTCCAGGATTCACCTGGACAGTCCAGGTTTTGAATGCTGTGTCCGGGTTTCATGGCAGCAGAAACCCGGACACAAGATGCCAGGCAGACAGGGGCAACCAAAATTAAGATAGGGGCTACTGGCCCCCCACTGAAAATAGTCTCAACTGTGATACTTACATATGAATGGATGACGCTATTTACATATGAATAAGCCGCAACTCATTCTCACAAAAAATGTCCACACATCGCTAGAGTGTTCGGGTTTCATTTGAAGAAAAGGTGGCAACCCTACCCACCCGGCTTCTTTAATGGGACTTCTAAAAAAAATATTGGTACTCGTACTTGAAAAAACGGTATCGGTGCATCCCTAGAGGATACATCTCCAAAGTAAGGGAAATCCCCTATGACATTCTACAACTAAGCCCGTGATTGGGCGAAACTCGTTAGAGAGGGCGGGCCTTGGGTATAAAATCAGTGATGTGGTAGAAGCATCAGTAAACTGTCCCAGCAGAATCCGGGGTGTGCAGCCAGCTTTTCTTTTGTTTGCAAGGGAAATCCCCTCTGACTGAAACAAGTGCTCCCACTGGAAGAGTTCCCCTCTATTCCTATTCGGGTGACAACTCAGAATGTTGGATTTTTCCCTTACTTTTAGTCCCAATGACGATGGCCACCAGGGCCAATAGGAGTCTATATTTTACATTTTGTTCCATGCACGCACAACTTTCACCCAGGATTCACTTTTTTCTTCTTCCTTTTTTCCACAAACAAAACTATCTAATTCTATTTTAAATAACTTTCACGGGGGCGTGGCTTGCCAATGGCGACGTGAGGACGTGACTCCTTGGAGCTCTGCATCTCCCGGCACCAGCCTAAGCTCTAGCAGACGTTATTCTCCCCCTTCTTTGGATGTCTCGGGTGCCGGGAAGTCAGCTGTGCCTCCGGAGTTCCCGACAGTCAGATTTGGCTGATTTTTTTCCCCCCGCGGGTACCGCGAGCCGACAGAGGGACGGGACTTCACATACTATTCTACAGTACATGAATCCTACTCCAGAATAGACTATTTTTTCATCCGTCATGGGGACCTGCATATAGTTCTCTCGTCCTCTTTAGACCCCCCGGTACTCTCGGATCATGCCCCGATTCGGTTGAGTGTGGATCTCCTTGCTCCCTCCTCGAGGTGTTGCTCCTGGAGGCTCAACGAGTCCTTATTACAAGACCCTGACATACACGCGGACCTGACGACCTCCTTGGAGACTTACTTCAGAGTGAATGCCACTGACCAAGCGGATCCTCTGAATGTGTAGTCTTTGAGTCCTGTGTGAAGTATGCCAGCTAGTTGCACTGTCCCAATGGGAGATACCGGGCGAGGGAGAAGAGACCCCCTCCCTCTGCTTTCTCTTCCTCCTTTCTTTTTACACACCTGCCTTGACCTTTTCTAACTGCTCTTCTTTTTACCTCATACGTAGACTATTATGCAGCCACCCTATTGAATTATTGATGGTCACTCGGGGTCCATGGCCTCCGAGCGTGGGGCTCCGCACTGGCAAGAAGTCAGGATTTTCCTCTTGTATGTGGGTTGCCCACGCTGATGGCGGGGACCCCGCTCGGTCGTCACCTTGAGCGGGATTGAAAGTGGAACACTCACAGG